ACACTGTTTCTAAGTCAACTTAAGAGATTTCTCACTGGAAAACTATGAAAACTAGAATGTCAAAGGAATAGGAAAATAAAACATTGTTACATGACTGAATGACTAGTACATTCCTTCCCCAAAATGCTATGCTCAGTCCTGGTCATATCACAACAGCAAACCCAAAGCTGAAGCAGGAAAGTTCAGAGACTGGCAAGGAGAATCAATGATGCCATAAAAAAATACCTAAGTTTATGTATTTGGACCCCAGTGAGCTCCCAAAGTGAGCAGTCCTGTCTGAACAGCACCTCTAGGGATTTAACTGTAATTTTTCTCCTACTAATACACCCAATCCCAAAACATTCAGAAGCAGCAAGTGGAGTGCTAAGTTTAGTGTTGATGTAAAAAAAAATAAAAATAATTCCTTTAGAGTAATTTATTACTTTTCATTAAAATTTAACCTCTTTTTGCACAAATCAAACAGCTTGTGGTTGTTACACACTCCAGGGAATTACCCGAAATCCCAAGAAAGTTCAGCAGCTGAACATTCCAATTTCTTCACTGCCTTTGGTAAGGGCAGCTTTAATGAGAAAAAAAATATTTTAACTGATGCAAAAAGGATTTATCATAAATTGTTAGTCCGCTTATTTTGTAAAATTAAGATGCTCCTCTGCATGAATACTAAATGGTAAAGACCCTGGAAATTAAAGCACCTAATAGACCATATAAAGCAGGCTTTCAGTTTTCCTACCAAACCCTGCAACTGTACACATACAAATCAGGCTTATCTATTTATACAGAATTAATCAGGATTACCACTTTCATCTTGGCAATTTCACTGGAGGATGAAATCAATAGCACCCAATCAGTAAAATATGACTGTTTCCACTGTGCTGAGGCATTTTCTCTATTAAGAACTATTCTGCCTTTTAAAAAAATCAATAGCCTCAGGCATTACGTTTCAATATTGGAGGCCTGGAGCTGTATTCCAACAGGACACTCCAAGCAACTCCTGGGGTTTGAGGCAGGTGTCCCCTCTCAGCCTGGCACACTGGAGAAGCAAACACCGGCCAGTGCCTCCACAGCCATTCCCAAAAGCTGCACTGAGACTTTGGAGCTCCCAGGGGCTAAACGCCTAGTCCACAACCCTTGGAGGAAAGTAAAATAACCCTTCTGGATCCAGCATGGAAGCTGCAATCTGGACCCTGCAGCCACTGAAGCCCCTACAAAACAGCTAAACAGAAATGGAGTTTCCCTTCCACCGAGTGACATCCCAACGTTAGCGCTGATTCCTCATGGGAAACCAGCACTAATTAGTTACTAGCAACAACTCCAGTTATACCTCCTCACAGGCAAAGCAAAGCGAAACTTCAAACATTCTGCATCTATAAAGCCATTGCATGTTTAGAAAAGTTGGCTACAAACATTGGCACACTTTTTACACACCAAATTATCTCCACGAAACTGGTGATGATAATAAAATTTGCTTTCAAACCTCCTGTGATGCTCAGGCTGATGTTGCCCAAGTTAGATGTTCTTATAGCTTGAAACCAAAACTTCAGAAGAATATTACACTGCTCCTTGTGTAGTTTTCCTAAACTCCCACTTTATTCCTCACTCATTTATCATCACTCTTCTTCTCTTGGCCATGCAACAAACTACAGTTAGGTGCCTACAGAGTCTTCAGACTTCCCTGACAGTCTCTGGCTGAAGGTTAATGTTGTGTAAATCACAAGGGCATTTTATCATCAGGAACAATCAAATACTCTTATTTGTATAAGGAAATATCTACCATATGTAACTTCCTTACTCACACTGATAAGTTAGCACAAGGTAACTAAACCAAGCTTTTTTTTTTTATGACACTTTTTGTTTGCTGCTTTTCACTGTGATGAACATTAGACACAGGTGTGTACACACCTGACAACTTTGAAAGTGAAGTGTTAGTTTATTAGGAAAGTTTCATAAGCCAGTCAAGTAATTTTCTTAGATGACTAATAAACATGCACTGCAAAAGCCATAAGCAATCTGTCCATATGGAACAGGAATATCAAGCAGGGAGACCAGTGCTTAACTGACGTGGGACGTAACCGAGACCTGAATATTTCTGCTCTATTTTTAACTTGGGATATAATTAGAAATAATCAAGCAGCACACACGAAACAGAAACAAATGATGACCTGCTGTTTCTAGGGTCCCCAGCCGATCTGTGCTGCCATCCTTAGCTTTCCACATCCCCCCATCACTCCCCAGGAGGAGCATCCCTGGCAGCAGCACCTGGATGCAATTCCCAACTTGTGCTCACAGACCCCTTCAGTTCTGGGCTCCTCCTGCAGCTCCAGGCCCACCAACTGCTAATTCTGCTCCACTGGGACTTCCCAAACCAGCAGTTTGTCCTCTAAAAACAAAATAGGTATCGATTCCAAGGACTTCAAGAATACCAGGGAGAGACAGAACAAATTTCCTGATTCTGAATAATCTCATTTGCAATCTTAATGGTGTATACAGGCTATCACAGCTTTTCTATTAAAAATTAAGTAACACCAGCTTCATTTTTATTTCTAATAATGAAATCTGTATAGATCCAGGTTTTTATGCTCATCTCAACTCAGTTACAGGAGGCAGGATTTAGCCAAATTTGATGCTTCTTCCTGATTGGTTTTCTTCCCTCAGCTAAGTGATACGTTGTCCCAATTCTAAAATCAGCAGCTCATCTCACCTTATCTGCTGAACAACCAACTAGACTGGAAAACAAACTAATGTTTCCAGATACACAAATAAATGAAGTTATACAGTTTTTTCCTAAAATAATTCAGCTGGACTCTTTTCTTCTTCAGAGAGCCATGAAGAGCTATTTATAAATAGGATCAAATATCCCTCCAACACACATGACTCCATACAAAGAATAAGGGCTACCAAATCTGCAGCTTCTGCTCATTTACGGCACTTTTACCCACACCAAAATGCCAGCATGGTAGTCTTTTTTGCATTAAAATCCCCTATTCTGGACATAGCAAGCAGCACTTCAGCCTTGACAAGGAGAGCTGTGAGACCCACAGCTAAAGCTCCATCTGGACCTACAAACTCAGTGTTCCTCTGCCTCTCCAGCTCTCAGCATCAGCCTAAGGAGGCTCTTCCCAGCATCCTGAAGAGATCAAACTTCACCCAGAGCACGGAGCAGAAGACAGCACTACCCATCTCGCATCTGAAGCGCAAGGGGAGAACTTTCACACCACGGAACATCTGCACAACTCCCTCTCCTATGAGCACCTGCCCCTATAAAAGTATGTGTTACATCCTGTATTTAAGAAACACTAGTAGCAATTAGGTGGGAAATAATGTGAATTAAAATGAAGTTAATCCACTACACATGAAGCATCTTCTCTTTATTGAGACAAAGAACTAAAAAAGCCTTTCTCCCTCTCCTTTAAGTAACTGGTATAAACACCCTCAGATAGGGAAAGCCCAGCTCCTCATCCTCCCCACAGGACAGCATCCATGGACACAACATAAAGGCACCTTCCACAATAGAGAGAGAGAGAGGAGTTCATCAGAACTTACAAGATTTCCATAATAATACTCTTAAATTCCTACTCCAAAAAACAGCTTCAATAAAGGTTTTAATTCCATATCATTTCAGCACATCACTACCCCTCTGCAGACTTAATTCACATATTTGGCTCCAACAGACAAAATTTCACCTACTAATTTGATTTCCTCAAATAAAGGTTTAGTTTAAACCAGCAAAGAGCTACTAATATAACCATAAGACCACTGAGCTGTCAGGAGAGCAGGAATATCAGAAAAGAATCACCACGTGGCAAGATTTTACACATCACAAAGTAACTTATCTGTTACACATGTTCTGCAGATTTTTTTAGTCAAACTGCAGTATTTTTCAAAAGAAAAAAAAAATCTGCTTCAGACCTAGACTCTGCAAAGCTTGTACTGTGTAAGAGGATAAATAAAAATATTCCCTGTCAACAGGAGTCAGCAAACATGGTTCCATCAGTGGTGTCCAAGATGAGAACCACCCTGGAAGATCCTGCCTAGTGTGATTTGAAACAGAACAATTACGCCATTTAATGTCAGAATTTAACCATTCTCACTTTCCCAAATTGCTAAAAAACACTCATTTGACCAGCAGCTTTTTCCATATTCCACTTGTACAGAGCTCTCTCTTAAAATATCAGGATTCAATCAACCTACAGGGTTTTTTTTGTTGGTTTTTTTTTTTTTTTTTTAATCCCAGCACTCAGCATTCAAGACCAGATTTTCTTTCAAGCTTCCTACTAGCTTATTGCCGGCAAGAAGGAAATAAAGAAGTTACTTTTTAAAGCCAGTATTTGGCGTAACGAGCAGATAACATCGCTGAAAAGCTAAGGAGGCTTCTGTGGTATTAATGGTCTCATGCAAGGGCTTTTGAGAGAGCCTTCTCCTGCCTCACCTGGGTGAGATTACGTTTTCCGTAGCCTATAAAGAACCAGGATCCAATCATGGACCATTAAAGACAACAATGGTAAAAGGTGTGAGAACTACCGCGGCTGAAACGCTGCCAGACCGCTCATTTCTGGGCTACTACGGCAGTTCCCAGGCAAGTTCCTCTCTCTCTCCACAGGTTGCCGGTACCGAGTCCGTGCCGCTTCCAGCACCCCTCCCGAGCCGGGACAGAGCCCGTCCGTGCCCGGCTCCCCTCAGGGCTGAGCTGCAAGCCCGATTCCCCTCAGGTGTGCCCGGCTCTCCTCCCGGATGCCAGCGAGCCGGGAGCACAGGTGGGTGAAGCGTTCAATCTCCCACAGAAGGAGCTCCAGGTGTCCCTTGCTCGCGGGGAGGCACCGCCGCCGCTCCCCGAGGCTCGCAGTGGCCCCTGCTGGTGCCCGCACGGGGGGAGCGGAGCGGGCTCAGCCCCTCGGCACCGCTCGCCCTGCCGGGGCCGCCCCGGACCCCGCCGGCCCCGGGACCCCTCCGCGCCCCCGCACAGCTCCGCGTCCGCCGCCTCCGGGGTCTCGCCGCGCTCTTACCGGTGAGGAGGCTCCGGGAGCCGCTCCGCGCCGCGGCGCCGGTCGGTGCGGGCTGCGCGAAGAGAAGGGCGATGCACAGGGAGCCGAGGAGCCGCCGGGCTCTCCGCGCCGCCATCGCTCCACTCCCCGCGCCCGGCAGCCGGGCTGCACCCAGCGCCAGCCCCTCCCCCGGGGGGGGCTCCTCCTGCCTTCCTTGCCTACCGGGCGGGCTAGCGCGGAGGCGGCGGAGGGAGAGCGGCGGGCGGGCGGAGCGGCCGCGCTCCCTCCCTCACTCCATCGCGGGCCGCGCTCCGCCGCTCGCTCGCTCCGTCCCTCCCTCACACGGACCCCGCGGGGCGCGCGCCGCCTCCCCCCCCCCCCCCCCCCCCCCCCCGCGCGCCCCCCCCCCCCGCCCCCGCCCCGCGCATGCGCGCGCCCCTCCCCTCCCGCCCCCGACCCCCACGCCAGGTGTGCGCGCGCCCGCCCCCCCGCGCGCGCCACCGCGCCTGCGCGCGGGGGGGGGGGGGGGGGCGGGGCCGCCGCCGCCCTCCCCTGAGGGGAGCCGCGCTGCCCCCCCCCACCCCCTTCCCCTCAGGCGTTCGGTGTTTAAAGCTCGTGGGTTTTAACGCAATAAATCCGTGTTTCCCCCTCTTCAGGACCAGCCCGGCATGGGTGGGGGACCTGCGCGTTTTCCACGCGTAAAAACATGGAAAACCAAACGGTTCGGCACCAATCCGGGTATCCCCGCTATGTGGCGAGCCGGAGGGTGTGGGAAGAGGGAGCCCTGCCCTGCCATGGTGCTGGGAACCAGCAATCCAGAGCCGCCAAGAAACCCGAAATCGAATTAAATGTAGAAAAATAACTTGCGAAAACTTGTTTTCTTGGGGCGTAACTCTGCTGCTCTGTTCGGGATCTCACCTCTCCCAGTAGACATGCTTCTCAAAGATAAATAACGTGAAGAAAAGGCCAGACATGCTCCGAAAAGGCAAATGCAGTGTATTTTCATCCTCCTGGGGGTAATTAGTTTTATACAGCATTTGCCATTCAAATCCAAATCACTGGAATGCCGCAGCGTTACCAGCCCGCTCCAGCCCTACTGCCGGATCCAGTCTCCTTACAAAGGACACAATAAAAGCTGTAAATATACATTCCTCCTTCATTAATCATATGGAGCGTACCCTGATATTTTTTCCATCTCAGCTTGTTACCCACTAAATTATATTTTTACAACGCACATGGTGTCCTTGCTCATTTTATTATTGACTAATTGAGTCGTCTCTTTTTGGACATAAATTACATGGGACCAGGGCTGGAGGTTACCAGGAGAGAACCAGACCTCTGAGGCAGGTGAAACAGGGTACATCCCCTGCAAAACATGTTGCAAAACATTTTAAAACGAATTTAAATAATTTGTTCCAAAAAAACCCCCAGCTTTTACGCTGGTTGTGAGACTCCCGTTAAGGAAAGTTTCTCTTGATAACCTCGGTGTGTGTGGCAAGGGTGTCTCTCTTGTTGCAGGCAGCTCTATATTCCCGTGAAATTCTTCTTGATCCAGCGGGATTTGCAGATTTGTTTATGGAGAGGGTTTTCTGCGAGGCAGACGCTGGCACAGTGCTCAGTGCCCCACACGCAGGTGTGGATTTTGCCATACAGGGATGCAGGGATGCGCACAGGGAATTAAACGCTGACGTGACTGCAAAGCACTGGCTAATACAGGTGTCTGAGGTGTCTCTCCTCGTGAAGCTTGCTTCATTATTTTATGTTTCTGTCAGGAAACAGGGGGTTTGGCCACTAAAAATATCCCGGGGCATTTTCACAATGGAATAATTACCTCCTCAGATGGATGTTTGGGTTTCTCCAGCTTACCCTTGCCGAGTTAGCTGCTATCTGATATGCCACAAGGATTACCAGCAACCAGCTGCAATTTATCCTGAAAATGGAAACGGTGATTAAAAGGCAGGACTGGTACTGTAACTCCTATTAAAGCGGGTTAGCAATTCCCATCATAAAATCCTGCCCTCAGTCGCATTTAATAGGGCCAAACTAACCACTGTGCTGAAATTTAAGCATCTGAAGTTCATACCTTGGGTTAAATTATAAAAATTTCTCTCCCTGTTCCTTCTGTCAGTGATTTTCCAGTCTGAAAATGAGAGTGGTCACTTTGTCAGAGGTGCTCCCTCAAACCCTGCTTATGAAGACCCTCCTGAAAGTCCTGCTGGTTCTCGGCACGGGCATCCTGGCACTTCCACTCTCCAGCAGCTCTGTCCTCATCACTGCCCAGGGCTGTGGGATCAGAGCTGGACCTGCATCTCCAGTTCCTGGCTGCTCTGGACCATGCCATGTCTACAGGTAGGAAGGGCAAACCTGCCCTGCCAGTCGTCTTGGGAAACACAGAGCAGGAAGCTCCTTGAAAAACACACAGTGGGGATGGGAACTGGGTCTGGGACAGGTAAGTTGGCAGGCACAGAGGCTCTGGAGAGATACAGGTTCTCCAGGGTAGTTGGAAGGGAATGAGGAGCCAGAAGGAAAAACAGGTCTGCCTGGAGGGAGGGATAAAGCAAAGGTCATAAGAAAGAGTCTGGGAGCCAGGCTGCTGGGAGAAGATTTTAACCTGGAGTGGGAATGGGAGAAGTTGCTGGGAGGAGGACATGCAGCCTGGGAGGACTGGGAGCTGTCCCTATGGTCTGGTCAAGGGCTGAGGGAGACCTTGCTGGGCAAAGGGGATCTGATGGAAGAGTTGGAGTAGGGCAAGGGAGGAGGACCCCGAGGCTGGGTGTGGGATGCAACAGGGCCTATGGGAAGAAGGAATTCACTAGTGATGTAGTAACGAGAAGGACAGAAACTGGGGGAGGGAGGCAGAGCAGAAAGGTCAGGATTTAAGAAGGGGAATGAAAAATGGTCAGCGGGTACCGTAAATACACTGAGAATGTATTGCACCCCCTTGGAGTGCTGGAGGTTGTGCCAACCATGACATCCCTCATAGAAGGAAATTTGCACATCGCTGATGACCTGCCTCGATGTCAACCCAGGATTGCGTTGCTGGGGTTATCTCTGCGTGGGAAAGAAGTACATATTCAATAAAGCAACACTCCTCAGGCTGCACAGCAACACACTCCCTGGTTATCAAACACCAGGATAAAGGCAGCCAGTGCAGAAGGATAAGCCAGGCTCAGACACCGGACCAAGGTCAGGGAACCCAGGCAAGCGCCTCAACACCTTCCACCTCATTTACTGTAAAAATCAGATGCAGGTATTTTATGCACCTCGTGAGGAGCTGCAAGGTGAGCAAGCATAGCGCTGTGCGTGGGGCAGGTGACTGCTGCTCCCAGGAAGGATTTTTAGCCTCTGGAATCTGTGGGATGCAAAGCACAGTCCCTAAACAGAGCCTGCCCAGCGGTGCACTAATTGTGCAGCCAGCACTGCCCAGGTGCCTGGGCTGACATTTCAAAGCCTGACTTACAGAAGTGAACAGCTCTTGCAGATAAATCTGCAATAACTGAGAATTTATACAACTTCTGACTCAATTAGATGCTTGGCCATGTTCTATTTTCTGACAAAATCAGGCCATTGAGTATTTCTAATTGGATCTCTGAAATGAAAAGATATTTTTTACTATTCTGTCTGTACATCCGAGTTCCTCGTCTGTAAAATAAGGGCAACAGCAGTTCTCACTCCAGTGTTGAGAAAATGAATTAGAGTTTGTGAAGCACTTGGATACCATAGTGATGAGTCCCATGGAAAAGCTCAGGAGGAAATGAATAAATCTGTCTTCAGAACAATATTTGAATAGTCTGCTGTAAATAAAGCACAGGCCACACAGTGAACAGCGAGGAGAAAATAAAATTATTACTTAGTGAGCACAGTCTATTCTGTACAATAAGCGAGGCCAGGAACCTGTTGAAAGAACAGCGTGTGATCTAATTGCAATTAAATACTGTATCATAATGCAAATGCATGGAAGGGACAAATTACATGTTGCACAGGCAACCTTAATGTTGGTACTTCTAAACTTTTAGACCCTTGAATTTAAAAAAAATCTCCACTGTTAGGTGCAAAGGTATAATACACATGTATAAATGATTTCCTCGCCCTTTAATAGGGGGAGACAATATATTTACCTCCTCTACCTCAGCAACTTAACTGGAAAGAGTGTTTTTCTCCTCTTGGAGATATCTCAGCCTTACAGCCAAGATTTAATGCTATCATTCACACGCTGACGTAGAGATTTAAATCCAAAATTTACCTTCTTTGGGAGTCTGTGCACAATCATCAGAGACAGACTATTCTCCAGAGAGGGATCCAGAGGAGGACCTTCATTTCGGTGATTAAAATTTTGCATTTTGCTTGGAGTGCTTCCCATTCCAAAGCAGCCCCCCAGTTTTGGTGCAGAGGCAAGGTTATGGAACAACAACTGCCCTGATCTTTCCGACTCCTCGGTCCCGAGGCTACGCTGAGCATTCCCGACTCCTGCTGAGACTTGGAGCTGCTTCAGAGCGGCTGTAAATTGCACTGGGTTATCTGTCGCCCACAAGAAGGGTGATGGAATTAGGATTGCACTGTTCAGTGCCACTCCGGTTGTGCCTATTTTTCTCATCGTGATTTCTCTATTGCTTAGCAGGATGTGAGGTGACACTGAATCGTTACACCAATTTATTGTTATCCAGAGAATTTTCCGTTACCGGGCATCCTCTGGCAGCTGATAAAGGCAATTTGGGATAAGAAAGGGCTGCAGCACAAATAAAGACGTGGCTCGTTAAGTTTAAGACTTAGAGCTATGAGATACCTTCAGTTTAACCTGCTGTGCTGCCTCCCTTGTGTGAGGCATCGGCTCCATCCATGGACAACTGCTGGCAACATGGCCTGTCCGATTATTCCCAATCTCCATCCTGATTCCAGCACCAGTGCCCAGAAAGGTGTGCTGTCTTTCATCTTTCAAAAGGGGCTAGATTTTATTTTTTTTTCCTTTCATTTATTTTTCACATTTATTGGTCACAGATGTGGCTTTGCAAACCGCTCTGAGGTTAAAAGTCACCCTCTGGACTTTGCCGAGCAAATTCTAGGTTAGCAGGTCATATGGCAGAAACCCTCCAACCCTGGCATATACTTCTGTCATTCCTGAGGTCAAAGGCAGTTCCA